AAGGATACGGTAATATGGCGAATATTTAATTGTCACTTTGTAGAGATAGTTGAACATTAGCAGTACTTTTTTTGTTCGGGAGACGTGAGAAATCAGTCACGTTCTGAATGGGATTTGAACCACGAATTTTCCAACTTCAAGTTAGATTTGTTAGCCATCACAACAGCTCTAACCGCACGCGCGGTAAATCTTAACATTTTCTATCCCTTAAAGAGTGACTGGAACGAGGCAGGAAAACACTACGTTAAATCCAAGTGGTAATGGGTCATAATCCATTATATCTATTCGTACCATTATAAAAACTATTAGGTATTTTGGGAGACATGAGCAATTAATAGTGTCTTCGCCTGATTTAAAACCACGCAACTTCCATTTTTCTAGCTGAATTGCTACCTATCAGTACCACTGGAATACGCCCCTGCAGATACGATAATTCCTGTCAACTCCGTCGCAGAATTACATCTTGTTCGATCTTAAGTGTCAAAGGATAGTAAACACCAGAAAGCTTGGGTTCTAGGCACTACTCCAAATCAAATAAATTTAAAACTTTCTAAAAGGTTTTGCAAAAGAACTTAGCCAAACGGAATTAAAAGTAACTGATAAATTATAAACATAACTGATAAATAAAACAGCTGAAGTAAAGCCAAATACCCAAAACATTAAGCAAACAACGAAAGCCATCGTCGTCGAGGACATACGATCCGTGGCACTCTTTCGTTACATGTTTCAACTGAAGAGTTGATAACTTCGGATTGGTTATCAACGCTGCAGTTGAAACATGTAACGAAGCAGCCTGCGCTGCTAACTTCGGTTAGCAGCGCAGGGTGCACTAAATTATGTTTGGTTTCCTTCGGTGGTTGGAGGATCCTCATTGCAGTCCATCATAGTTTCAGAAATAGTAACTGCTTCTATGACTTCGAGAGTATTTTTTGTAGAAATTACCTCCGGAAAGGACAGGCGAACAGGAATTTCAGCAGGCACAGGCGGCGAATTCTGTTCCGGTAACGTTTTGGCAACTTTGGAATGTATAACCCAACAAGCTTCATCACATTTAGTGGTAGCAATACCAGCATCTCTATCACTCTCAGCTCTGGAATGCTTAACGTTTCTACTATTTTTTTCTAGTAGACGAAAAACAAGTTTCATAAGATGAAAAAACAGAGCGATTAAGTCATTCAGGATTCTTAAATGGTCTAACGTCAATTTTTGAATTCTTAAGGAGAAAAATAAAGTTCTCTTTCTGACGATGTAGACGAATATCTAAAGGGAGTTCCGCTAGAACTTCGCGTGTAAGTCGAGCAATGTCAGAAAGTCTATTATAAAGCACATGTCCTTCAGATATACCTAACTGTTTAAGCTATCTCTCCAACAGGTACATCGATGGGAAAATGCTGCATCATATTATTAATACACAACACAAATGTAGCTGATCCAAGCGTGGTTAAAACCAGTACAAGTGTCGAAAAGAACAACCTTCACTCGGCATAAATGAATGAGCTGAGATCTAAGTTCTGGAAGTTTCTCTTTATGCGGCGATTAGCATACATATTTGCATGTTGTGTTCCGGCGGTCGTGAGACAGATGCTACTAAGAGCGTTTAAAGTGTTGAAATGTTTGATCTGGGCTGTGCAGGATAGCTAAAGTGGAGAACTGAGATGGTCTCTGTCTAGCTTTCTATCTGAACTGAAATCCTCTGACCACACTGTTTGAAGTAGAACTTATCCAAAGACTGTTACCAACTCCAAAGACTTTTCCGAGGTTGTTGCCATTCTGTAAAATGTAACCTATTTTTCTTTCAAGTTTAATTAACAAACTCGGCTGTATGAAGGCAAAGTGCTGGCGCGGCCGGAACCGAGGTACTTTTATTTTCTACGGGCCAGCTTATTGCCAATTCGGTAAAGCTTAATATGCTTTTAAATTTAATCTGGAAGTTTACTGAGTAATAAACTAAACGATTAAAAGCAATAAGAATACATTCTTAAGAAGGTTTTTTTCCCACGTTTTAATGTTTGATTTAAATAAAGATGTATTAAAATGATGAGATGTCTATTTAGAAACATTCACTATTTCTATGAAATCACACTAGCTGGACTTATTGAAATCATTATATACTTATTCATTTTTATGGTAATTATTTTAGGCGGCTAGTTCTTAAAGAAATAATATAAAAGTGTAAAAAGTATGTACGGCAACCTCTAACAACTTCTAATAAATTCTAAAAATTTGTTGTTTTTAAATATTACGTGATTTTGCTTTTGAAGTTAATTTTATGTGTCGTAAGTGCGAAGACTGTGATATTTAATAAATGAAGTTAACACCGAAAACCTTAATAATAAAAAGAAAAAAAAGCTTGTTCTGTAAGTCATTTTTAAGAAAATTGAACATCGATATGATGAACTCAGAAAAGATTGAAAAAAAATTAAAAAGTGTGCGCCAACACTTAACACTGTTTCCGTAATTCAAAAAATATGCTGCTATGCTTCTTTTTAAATTTTATGATTTTGCTGTTAAAGTGTATGTGGCGTAAGAACCAAGAAAACGATGCTTAATAATAACGCTAAAAAGAAAAAAAAGTAGCAGAAATGAGTGCATGAGCTGATTGGTAGACTGCTAGCTCAGAGAGAGCGTAAAAAGTTTTAACCCTTTTTTAGACAAACGTTAAAACCTGAAACATTTCCGATTTTTTTAAATCTAATTTCAAGCTCGAATTTTCATCAAAAGCTTCGGAAGTGAAAATATCTTTTGGAGGAAGTTAACAAAGCTAAACTGGTAAGAAATAAATAGAGACAGAAACAACATGTGAAAATTTTTAATTAAATCTATTCCTAACGTTCTTACGGGTTTACAGTATTAAAACTAATTACATAAATTAAAAGTGAAACGTTTTTCTAGACCAGTGAACTTTTTATGTAACTATAATATTATTTAATATGTAGGGATTCTGTTTCCTCGCTACAATTACTACAGAAAAAATAGTGTCTTAGAGGAGCTTCCTTTCGAAAATTAGGTAATTATTAAAACTTCCCTAAATTTTTATATCTACATCATCTCTACTTATATTTGTGGACATCGTGTAAATTTTCTTGATGAAAGGCTGATGCCCTAACGAAGCTTATCAAGTACTTTCGTTATTGATTTAAACTTCAGTGTTTCTAATTCTCACTAGAAGCGTTTTTATAGAAAGATATCTGTATTTGGAGAAAACAATATCTTTCCTCACCAAAAGTATTGCAGACAAAAAGGTTTTTCCTATAGCTTTTCACAGAATAGCAGTTGAACAACTTTCAACAGAGTTAAGTTAACAATTTTAAGTTAAAGTAAAATTTGTCAGAACAACGAAATTTTTAGATTTATTAAAAGCGATATGGAGTGTATTTACCATGTCCAGTAGAGTAACTAGCATTTTCTAAACATTTAAGGATTAAAAAGACAATTTTCCCTTTATAGTTTTCACTTTTTGGAATTTTATTCCGAATTTAGATTTCTAGTTTTAAAATTTTAATTTTTATTGCAATTATTAGCCCAAAAGGGCAATTATGTCCAGAAGGGCTATTAATTTGAGTTTGTCATTTTACTCTGGTTCATTATAAAAATCTTAATTACTTTTCAAATTGTTGCCGAGCACTGCATTATTTTTAAAGAAACTAAATAATGAAGAATCTGCATGAATGTTTGTGTGTTTCTTGCACTGTGATAAAACAACTACATAGAGCCATCACATTTTCAATAACATACATCTGCACCCGAATATGGGCATCTGGAAGCCGTAATTTGGAATTGGTTTTATTATCTATTTCACACTTTTTAAAGCATTTATGAGTTTTCGATTAAGAAACTCAAACTATTTCAAAGCGAGCAATGGCAACACTGCACGAAAAAAAAAATATTTCCAGCGCGCGAGACTGTGTATCGAGAATTCTAAAGTTGTGCTCTTTTTAAATTATTTTGTGACATTTTTATTTTGCTGAATTGGATTTTATTCTTTTAGTACGAAGAACATGATATTTAATACATAATAGTAACACATGAAACGTTAAAAAAACCTCTTTGGGAGTAATATAAAACTTTCAGATTTTTTTTTATTTTTGTTGTTTGTTTTATTTAAATTTTTTATTCTTTAGTTTTTCCAGTCTTTTTTACTTTGCAGTTTTATTTCACTTTGTACGTATTTATGTATTTTGTCAGTGCTATAACTTATTTTTGTAAGCTCCGTGATGTATTTCGTGGCACACGAGAAAATGGAGCTTGAATTAATCCCCCAATTAATATTACTAGAAGTTGATCTTAAAATAATAAAAATGCATGTGAATATTATTAACAAAATTTTAGCATTTGAAACGTATTAACTATTTGTAGGAAAATACTTTCAAATCTCCATTTTAACAAAATTATAAATTAAAACATTTACAGTCTAGCGAACTGCAAAGGATAGTATCTGAATGACATTATATGAAAATATCAACACAGAATTATCCTAAATTATGATTTGACCAACCCTTCAAGGAGGAGTTTAAGTCTTGTTCTCTAGCGCAAAAAATTTAAAAATCTCAAAATGTAAAATTAAATACCTTGGTTACTTTTTAGCGTGCGATTTTCACTTTCTTATCTAAGCTTGAACACAAACGTTTTCCAAATGTCATGTATATGACTTGGGATACAGTAAACAAGTTAGAGTTTATAATCTTTATAATTAAAACTACTGTAATAAGAATATTTACCTTACTTAGAACATTTTTGTAGTTGGAAACTGGAATGATTTCAACCAACAGCTGGGAAAATAAAAGTGACAATTAATTTTAAAAACCATTTTTAATGCTACCTGTATCACCAGTGAAAAGAAACATCTCTTTTCAAATTATGTTTAAATGCTCTGAAAAATGTATTTTAATTCACCTTTATTTATCAGATACAAAATGTTTAGTTTAAAATTTGCACCTCATATGCATGATATAGCTGTAGCTCAAAGGATATTTTTTAATATTTCTGTGAATATTTTGCAGATAATGTTGGATTCCAAACAAGTGCTTTTTCGAAACCTACGGACAGTTTTGCCCACCAGTAATGGCCGCCCCTATAGAGGGATCTACGAGATGTGCTCGTGTGAGAATGGTCGTTTGTTCCTGTCGTCCCCTGAAGGACATTGCCAAGCAGACGATGTCGTCTGCCAATGAAGCCTCCACTAACAATATTGTATGCGAGACCAAACTTCAACAGCACTGTTTTATACGTTTTTACATATGATAGTGTCACTTTTTTATTTTGTTTTATGAGCTGTTAATTTTACTTTGCATGTTATAAAATACTAAATCAGTACATTATTTCAACAAATAATGTCATAAAATTTACTCATACCTTTAATTAATAGAAATTATTTGAGTTGAATTCTGTTAATGAATATATTGAATCCTTCCAAAAGTTGATACATAATGTAACACTTAAAAGGTTTTCGATAGCTGGTTTGTCTGTATCATTCAAGAAAAGTTAAAGTATAACATGCTATTCATTTTATAAAACCCAGTTTCATGGTTTCATCGTAGTATAATTTACATAGAAATACCTTAGTTATCTTTTAAGAGTACCCATTCAAATATGAAAATATTAAATTTAAAAAAAAAACTGTTTCCGTTGTTCAAAAACTAATGCATGAAAATACCGATCGCTTGACGGAAAGAATTTTAAATTTTTCTCGATAACATGACTTTATAATGAATCACATAAATATATCTAATTTTTCTCGATAACATGACTTTATAATGAATCACATAAATATATCTAATTTTAGAAAAATATGAAATGAAGCTATTATTGCTGTACACATTGTTTCAGATTGTAAATAATTGATTAAATATACAAAATAAACTTTTCTTTTCAGAAAAAGGAGCAAATATGTGCAAGTCTAATATAATTTTCAATACAGAGATTAATAAGGCCATAAAGAGGAAATATGATAATATTCATGAAGAAGTAAGTAAATTCAGGGATGCATAAGCATTTAATTATTTTCTACTGTAATATTAATTTGTTATTAAATTAGATTAATCATTATAATTATCATTTGGCTTAAATAACACAATGAGAAATAAATTAGAAATGTTATTTGAAAGTATTCGCTGGAGATTTTGATGATGTAAAACAACAGAGCTTTCAGGGTTACGGTTTAAATGAAAACATTTCGAAATGTTTCAATGGCAACGCCTACTTTTTTCATTCACAAATTGATCGATGCATTCAAAAACCATAGATGGCGTTTAAACGATACATCTATGATGAAAATTCCCTGCGTAAACATTTGCCAAGAAGAACATTGTTTCAGTTCTTACAAATCTCATGGATCTGAAGTATACACCTTAAATTTCCCAGATAGCCCAGAACTGGAAATCCATCGGACTGAGGGCGTGGGATCGCAGTGGTTGCGAAACTGTAAAGTTACGGCAGAACACTTTATCTTGAAACGTTGTACACTTTAAAAACTTGTAATTTCAATAAGCGTTTCTTCCGTCGCCTCTCTCATGCCATTGGTCCTTTACAATATTCCTTTTTGCAAATGTTTTACCCCGTCATAATGTATCCTTCTAACGCCATATATGGTTTTTGAATGCACTGATGAATTTGCGCAGGAAAAAATAAAAACTGAGTATTGGCATCCGAAAATTTCGAAATTGTTTCACTGTAACTACAACCCTGAGAGCTGTGTTGTTTTAAATCGTTACAATCTCGAGCGCATACCTTCAAATAACAACACCTGAATTTTCATTTAGTTTGCTTAAACAAATAGGCCGCTAGGAGTTCATACATAAACAGAAAATGTTTTTAACTACCCTGTATATCTCTCTTTATATATATAACCATGAGAAATTTTTCATGTAGATACTAGTTATGAGTTGTTACTTCCTTTATACTTCTTGAAATACTCCATTCAACTACAAAACATAATAGAATACTTAAAATATTATTATGAACTAAATGTTAATATAAATTTTGTTTTCCAGAGATCGTTTCTTCCAATGCTTTAGCTTATGAATTTAAAATTTAATTAAGCCAAGAAAGAGGAATAAATTTAGGATAAAAAGGAAAGATTAACAGAATTCTCCAGAGTGAGAACCAGAGACTCTAAAGAGTAAACGAAGTGGTCACTAAAAAAAAGATTAAGTATCTTAAGTACAATTTGATATAACATTAGAGCTTTTATTCTACTAATATGTGCAGTACAGTAAAATCTAGATTTTAAAGACTAATTTGAGAGAAAGTGTGTTCGTAAAATCGGACGTGGGTTGAATTGTGAATTGTGTTATGAACAATATAAAAATTAGGATACTGAACTTGAAAAGGTACTCTAAAACATAAATGAAATATATTTAATGTACATAATATATTAGTAAAAATGTATGTCTTACAAATGTATACTGGTTGATAAAAAGCCACAAACTTTAGTTGCTTTCGCGTTAATATTATTTCTTAAAACACCCAAGTCAACTCTAAGATCTCTGTAAGTATATCATGATATTATTCGTTTGGTATTTCCTTTTGATAGTTTAGGAGAACGCATGACCTGTTCTTCTTCCCCGTCATCACTGCTATTCTCTTCATCTTGCGTAACATTTTCTATTGTCTCCTGCTTACTGAGAATAAGGTAGCCTGGATGGTCCTCGTCCATGTTAGGTACTGTTCAATATCATCTACGATGACATTTTTGACAGACCTTAAGCACGGTTTCATGGAGACTGGGGATTTCAAAAACGCTGTATTCGTTGTTTCTTCCTTTTCATTCAGCAGGTGCTTTCAACTAATGACCAGTCTAGTGGTTTTCATGTCATTCCAAGCGGGTGAAAAATCGAAAACGGCAAAATTGATGCCATATGAAAGTAGGGTTTTCCAACTAACTTCTCAGCGTTACAATGAAGAGGCACCATATCAAGAACAGGCGCCATTGTCATGAAGCATGATAGGATCCTTCACCAACAAATATTATCGCTTCTTGAGGTCAGAAGTGACGAATCCCATCATCTCCAATGACACTGCACCAGAGCTGACACAATCTTCGGCGATGATGGGGGATGGGAAGTACTGGAACATGCGCCATAGTCCTGTGATATGAATCCAAGTAACCAAGATGTCTTCAAAAGAAAGAACCGCTAAGAAGAATATCCGTAGCGTGCTGATAATATATGAAGCCTTTCGTAACTTGGTAAACGATGGTAGACGTAGCAGTCAATTACAGTGAAGATCTTTGAGTGTTTGCATTTATGATAATAAAATGTTTTCTGAACTGCTTTTTATCCAACGCTTTTATTTTGACAGGGCGCGAAATCCACGAGATGAGAACAATAAACAAACAAGACCTCGTTCAAGATGTTCATTTAATGTATAAAATCACACAATAAAAGAAAATTATTCCAAACTCTTAAATTGACTTCTGACCTACCGATAAAAAACTACTCGTATTTTGGAAACCATTAGTTTGGATAAGCATACTTATATTGAAGAAACGCATGCGCCATATGCGAAGATACATAATTCATGGTACATAAATATTGCGGAATATACATGGCCAGTTTTTCTGCATAAATACGCGAATAGTGAATGTTAAGTTCATGAGATAGTGCTTAGTAAACAACAACTGCATATTGCAAGGTAATAAATATCGCATAAATGGGCAACAACAATGAAAAAAGTGTATAAGAAACTTAACCTAACTGCAAGTGTGAAGTTTCTATAAATATCTTTAAATAAATATGAGTTGTATAATTAATGTTAGTGAAGCTTTTTCGAAAAAATGCTATTTATAATGTTATCAAAAGGCACACGGAATATTTCATTACAGAATTCAGCAAAAATAATATGGAAAATATACGCGTTATAAAAATATTATCAAATCCAAGGAACTATATTACTTGTTTTATAATGTGAAGCTAAAGAAATATATGTACAGTGAATTTTTCATAAATACTTCGCAGAAATATTCTTAACTTACCTTTTTAAGTTTTATTTGCATAATAAATTCAGTGAAGATACTGATCAGCTTTTATTACACAAATCACTGTTGTTACAGTTGTTAACCTGTCAAACGAATGTTGTCGTAATGAAATACAAACTGTTATTAAAAATAGTGTGCATTGTGTGAGACATTTTTCGATTCCGTTTAATGGCGTCTTTATTTATTTAAAACAGTAAGTCTTTTAATTTAAAGAAATTGTGTTATTTATGGTTATTAGATGCACTGAAATTTTGTTTGCTTTGCTAACTGTATGAAACTGTGATTGTATTGAAGAATAAGCATTGTAAAATAGCCAATTTGTGCTGTAAATACATCTTTACATCCGTCCTATATTTGTACCTAGTGCATAGATGTTATTGAGCAGTAATAAAATCCTACTTGAGATTATTGTGTCTTATTTTTTGCCAACTTGTCACTTTCTTTCATTGTTAAAGTTTTGTAATCATAGCAATTAATATATATATTTTATCCTATAAATATATTTTGGATTGAATGCATAACTGCGTCCTTTTAATGTTAATCTAATATTTGAATATATACTGAAGTAGCTTAGCGTTTTCTTTCTCATGCCAAAAAGAAATATATTTATTTAAATTTGGCTTACAGAAAAATATTTGAAACGTTTCAACCTCTTTTCTTGATGACAATATTTCAAATGCATTCTCATTAAACTGAACCTACAGTTCAATGAGTTAAATTGAATTTACGTGCAGTCCTCTGATTTTTGTATAAAAAAACTCCAAACATGAAATGTATCTTAATAAGCCATCTCATATTCTGTCAAACACAGCATATTTTAGCAAGATAAAATAAAGGAACAACTTATGCCTGAATAAGAACTTTGTATTATAGTAAATAATTAAATAAAAAAGTAACTACACAGAGGCTAGGATAGCAGAACTGAAATGTATACATAAACTACATATTTTACTTCCTTGTACGAAGCAAAGGGAGTATTGCAATAGCGAAAAATTTCGGGTATTATATTTTAATGGAAATACCCATTTTAGCAGCTCCCAAATCCATTCTGAATAATATTTTAGGGGGAAGGGGATGAGTGTTCGTATGCACAGTATAAAGGACTCTTTTTTTTTTTTTTTTTCGAAACAGATAAAAAAATTAATACGAAAGGATTTTTTTTCCGTTGAAGTCTGTACGTACGTACATATGTACGTATGTGGCTGATATAATTCGTAGAACTTACATTAGAAGAAAAAGGAAGGGGAAATTTTCTATATAGCATTGCTAAAACATCTCTTTGTGCACCTCCTTTTTTATCGTAATCGGTAATACCAAACGTATTACTGTCCTCTTACCCGGCCTTTATTTTAGTAATAGTTCGTCGTAGCCATATACTACCAGTTCCAAAAGTGTTTCAAATGACAAAAATATGTTTTGGCAATGTCAGTTTAAAAAAATCTGATGTGTACACCACATGACTTCCTTGCACGGAATATTAAATTATACGCATTTTTTCTTGCATTTTATTTAAACTTATTAGATTGAATTAAACCTACTTAGCCGACAGCGCATAAACCACAATAGAATAAATGCATTTTTTAAAATTCACTTTGTTTACCATAGCGACACTCTGGCGCTAGGTTTACTTAACAGTATTATATTTCGTTCATATTATAACTCAGAATGCAAAAAATTTATATCATTTAAAGAATTATCTAATCGTTGCCACATGTTCTATTCAAATACTATAATAAAGCTAGAACTATGTATTAAAGAAATTAAGCAAACAAAACAAAAAAGAAACAGTTTTTCACAGACGATTGAGTATTTCTAATCCAATTAATTCAGTTTTCACTTCGCGACAAGGCAAAAATACATAAAAACTCAAAATATCTGTATTAAAAATTACGAAGTATACCTTAAACGCTTATTTCCTCGAAAAAATTCCAGAAAGGATTAAGCATGATTTATATAATAAAAGAAGGCGTTATCTTTGTTGTTGCGAAGCTAAGTTTCTCTAGATTGGCAACAAATCCGCTACTCAGCTGTTTCAAATGTAAACAAGAGCAATGGCCGCCATCAAATTAGGCTTAGCGGCACTTAAACAATTTTAAATTGTTGATAATTCTAAAAATATTGCATACAGATTTACTAAAGGCATAAAACCCTTAACCGGAAGATAAAAACAACATAATTCACTCATTTTTAAAGCAAAAAATGTACAATTTACAATCATATAAGAGTAAAGAAACTGAGATCACTGAGCCGGGTAACAGAGTGGATATATTTATAAATATATTTATATACGTTTGGCGCGGCCGATTGAAACCAAAATACGAAGTGCACATCTACATGTTATAGTAGTCTTATATACAAAATTTCAACGTTCTGAGGCTACTCGTTTTTGAGTTATGCGAGATACGTACGTACGTACGTTCGTACGCACGTACGTACATACTTTCGTACAGACGCCACGAAAAATTCTCTTCAGAATTCATTTTAAAGTAGTTTTTTAGTTTTTTTTGGAGGAAAAGAGTCTTTTATTCTGTCCTTACGTACAGATATCACGCAAAAACATCGTTAAATTGCATTCGAAAGCGGTCAAAGTGGATATTTTCTTTGAAATATGCTGCCTGAAGCTTTTCGCGATTACAATACTTCCTTACTTCGTACAAGCATGTAAAAATAGCGAACTCAAACTCCAGGTTTCTAAACTTATATCTGGGAAAGTTTTAGACTTGTTGTAATAGATAAAATTGTACGAAGTTTGACAACAATACGAAAAATACTTACTGAGATATTTAAATTCAAAATTTGCAATTTTTGATGTCATTTTCAACTTGCCTTGAGGGATCGGTTACTCAAGCTAGAATATTTTGAGGAAATAAGTTCAAATGAAGTGCATCAAAAATGTATAATTCAATATGACGTACAAGAAAGTCACGTAGTATCCACAGCAGAATTTTTTAATACAGCATATACTTAAGTAAGATTAATCACATTAATAATATGCACTCTAAAACATCAAATAAACTGTTGTTAATATATGATCTAAATATCTTCAGAAAGTTTTTAAAATTTTGAAATAGTCAATAAAAATTAATAGTTTTGGATTGCAAAAAATTAATTATGATACAAGATCAAATTTTTAAAAAAGCACTGGCTATCATATGATAGGAAAAGAATAATGTATGTATTTGATCCTCTAAAATTATTAAAATTTACCTAATTAATTTTTATTAAAATTCCACCATATTTATCAGATAATATGAAACAAGTAATGTTTAACTAATTTAAGATTTTTAGCAAACAAGCATTGGCAGGAAGATGATAATATTTATGATATGCTTATTCACTGTTCAAATATCGGTTTTAAATGTAATAGGGAAAACAAACAAAAAAAAAAAAAAAAAAAAAAAGAAAACTTCTGTAATTTTGCATGCATAAGCGTAATTAAGCCAATTGAAAAAATGAAATTAAAAAGCAAGATTCACTACAATGTAATCATACTGAATCATACACTGCTTTACATAAATGAAAGATGAAATTAAACTTAACCTAACCAAAAGTCGTTTACAAAGCATGGGTTAAAATTAATTGTTCTTCAGTCTCCGAAATATGTCCATCATATGCTCCTTTCAAAATTCTACTTTTTTATTACCAAATAATCGATAGGAACACGGGAATAAAATGATGTCATCATTTTTAGGGTTCTTTTCCCTCTCATTTGTGATTTTTTTTCCTTCTTTCCCTAGCGGGGAAAAAAAGAAATTCGAAGGACAAAAACAGCTGTTTAAAATAAAAAGGAAGGGGAAAAAAGTTTCCGTTAGTCTTTACCAGAATTGTTACTCGCTAACAAATGTTCCGAAAAGTGTTTCCAATAAAAGTTTTTCCCCTAAGAAACACTACATCTATTGACCGCTTTGTTAACGTAATCGTTTCCAGTTCTTTTTTATTTTCGGGTAGAGAAGTTCTTTTTTTGATTCTCTTTTCGTTATTTTATTCTGATTTTATTGTTTCTTCTAATCCTTCTCTTACACTTAAGTAAACAGGATGAGAATAAATAAAAGGAGTTCTTTCCAAACGATGCTTAGGACCCTGTTATTAAACCCAGAATTTCACTATTATGCAAGATTGTGACTAATATTTTTCCTCGTTTGGGAAAACCTACTTTCTTAGACACGTTTTGCAAATAAAATATGAAAATGAATTTTGTTTCAAAGTCCATTTGGTTTAAAAATGTGAAAAGATCTTACGACTGCACATGGCATAAACTTTATAAGAAAAAATAAAAGAATTGATAGTATTGTGCGACATATTTCTAATATCAATATAATCTTTTAAATCTTATTTTCTTATATGTGAAATGTTGTATGTATAAATGATTACCCTAAATGAATCAGCCCTATTAACTGAGCAAGGTTTTCAATTTAAGATCTCCCTCAATTCGCATTTTTTGTTGTCCTGGCAGCTTCCTTTAAGCGCTGTAATTGTTAGTTGAGCAACATAGCTACTAAGTAATTAAAAAAAGCAATTTTTATGTTTGGATATGCAAAAATACATTGTTTTACTCTTGTACAGCGTCGTTTCACAACACAGTATCGAAACAAATGCTGCTACTTAGATGTGGGATTGGCAGTTGAACAAACCAGAACATGGCTGAAGCATTTTGGCCATCAAGAAGTCCAGATTTACCATCATGAGAATACTACTTGTAGAAATATATCAAGAACCGAAATTTTGTTCCCACCTTTTCCGCAAGTCCCAATGCATGACAACAGTTGTTACGATTGTTGTCATGGATATGCTTTGGAAAATTTTCGATACCATGCTGATATTTTTCCTTGTTACGAAATAGTGACAAGAAGAACATTTAAATTATTCCATGTAAATTTTAGAGCATGTTAACACATAAAATTGATTTTAAGTAGGAACACGAGCAGCTGAACTACGAAAATTCACATGCTTGAAATCGTCTCTTAAGGCAGCTAACTATAAGCCAGACTTGGCTAAATTGACGTCACAAGTTCAGCATCAGGAGAGACAATCATTTGATATCGAAAAGAAAATTCATTCAGTTCATAAGTTCATTCAGTTATGTTTGTTTTTGCAATAATTAAAATCATAATTTTATTTTTTGATGTTGAAGTGTATTAAAATTATTATCTCTAAACTTTCTCTTATTATGCACTAAAAAGACTTCTAAAATGAAAATACCACTAACCCGAAAACGTCTTATAAATATACATATTTTGGTTGATTTTGACACGCAGCTAAAAAGGGTTGCCGACGCCTATTCTAAGGTATTCGGGACCCTTTCACACCTGGTCATTATAGGGAGACAGTTAATGCGAAAAGTTTTAAGAGATTTTGAAACAAAATGGATATATTTTTTATTTAACTGCGAAAATTAATTCTAGGAAAGT